ATCATTATAGATCAGGCCGATTTCAATACTATCGGGATACTCTTAAGGCATTTTTTAAAAAAAGTATTAGGGCTTTTGAAAAACTCGTTGCTAATTTTGCGAAGTAATATTTTTTAAGTATTGATTATTCTTTACTAACATGTTAATTTAAAAATTATTGTTTTATTTGTAAATTGTATAAGTGACCAGTATAGAATCATAAGATTATGTTTAACTTTAATTAATCTTGAAAGAATTTATACACATTTCATTTATCTTTTTTTTTGCATTACATTTTTTACATAGATTGAAATTAGGGCCATTGTTATTTGAGCAGCATGTTCAATGATGTGTAACACTGGTACGTGTACCCAAATAACATGCATGTTTGGTTTTCTGCCCAAAGGCGATTGAAACCGCGCAGGTGTTTATACCATTTTATTTATACACATTATCGGCCAGGTAAACAAAAGCAAAACAAAAAAAATGAATCACAATTCCCGGTATTTTCAACTGATTATTTATTTATTAGTCCCCTACCGGTGAAACCGAGGGGACTATAGGTTTCCTCTGCGTCCGTCCGTCCGTCTGTCTGTCCCCGTCAGTCTGTCCCACTCAGTTTTCCACACTTTTTTTCTAAACGCTTGAAGATATTGAGCTGAATTTTGGTATGTGAGTGTATCTTAATGAGTTACAGATCAAGTTTGAATTTCGCTTCGCAACATTTATTTTTGACAGAATTTTGGCATTTGAATATTTTTCATAATCGTTTAATTAAGATCGGGTTCGAACTGCGCTAACTTACGATGGTCGACATAAATATAAAGCGAGGAAAAGACGGTGGAAAAATGAGTTGAATTTTCGTCCTAATGTGGATTATTTTATTAGTTTTAAGGCATTTACAACTTAAAAATCTTGCAGTTTTACCTTGGAATGACTTTTACATATTATAAAATGACATCCTGAACAAAAAGGGGAACCCGGTAGGGGACATGTATTGCTTATGCAATACTCTCAGAATGCTTGTTTTTTTTAATTTACTCTTTTAATAACTTATTTATAAATTAAAAACTAATTCATCTGTAAATTCCCGTATAATAGTTCACATTGCTAATGTTACGGAAGAATGGTGGCATAATTTTATTTCATGTCATAAAATAAATTGTTAGATTTTTATTTTAGGGTTACATGTAATACTCTTTTAGCGTGATGCTTGTAAAGCGTGTACCTTTTCAATTAAAATATCTGACTTATATCTACTTGTATATAAATAGTGACAAATGAAAATGTTAAGTGAGTATTTAATTTTAATTTAATAATAAAATAAATCTACATGTAGATATTTTTTTTCTCATGAGCCTGTAGTTTTATATATTTTAGAAATAAAAATCTCCCCCTGACTTCCTTATTTAACAACTTTATTTTAAAAAATATTCTATATTACATATGAGTAAATATACAGTCCCTATAAATTAACTACAATACATGTAATCTCAAGTTATTAAAAGATTATAAGAAATCCTTGCTTATTAAACAGTTTAAACTCCTCTCTGCTGGAAGTAAACAAAACCCAATAAACAGATATTTTCCGAATTTTTGGAAAAATTTAACAGTTCTCGTTCAATGTCAGTAAAACTATCAACTGATGTGTATATAGTATTTTCTGGAGGTATATACGTAATTCCAAACAATATATTTGACTGTAAATCAATAACTTCTTTCGATAACTTAAACCAAAATACATATTCACAGTTTGAGATTATAACATCTGTCAACATATTTAACTAAATTTTCTCTCACTGCAAGAATAATTCCTCCTGATTTAACTTTTGCAATATTGAATCTATTTTTCATATATACAACGAACTCTGGGATAAATATGACATCAGTGTTATCCGTTTTTGTCTCGGTAAACCATAAAACATCGTACTTACAAACAAAATTTAAAAAATCAGCATAATTCAACTTTTTACGTAGTCCACAGACATTTAAAGATAGGAATGTCAATGCCTGTGCCGACTGGTCCCCCTTGTTTTCCTACAGTCGGTCTGGCGTCGATCCGTAGCTTGGTCGTTTTGTCGACGGCGCGGCCTGTCGATCAGCTGGGGCTTCCGAGTAGTTACTGCTACGGTACGGTGGTCGATCCAATTGCATGGGTTGCCGATCAGCAGGGGTTCCCGAGTTGATCGCGTTACGGTCCGGTGGTCGTTCACGTTGCGTGGGCTGTCGATCTGCTGAGGCTCCCGAGTTGATCGCGTTACTGTACGATTGTCGTTCCGGTTGGATAGTTGTGTCTCTGTTCAGATGATATAATTCACCGTTGATATAAAGTCGATCTTTCACTAGCCTAACGCGCTTTCTGTCCAATTTTGCTTGCCTCAAGATGGGATATAATTTCTTTCTGCGCTCCTCGATTTCTGGAGGGAACTGTTCATTAACCCATACGTTAGAACCGTTAAGTTTCTGCGGGGCGCGTGTCCTAATTTATTCCCTGTCTTTGAAGTAGGTGAATTTGGCAACGATGTTTCTAGGATATTCGTGATATTCATTCCATTTCCCTACGCGGTGGACTCTTTCAAAGGAAATATCATAGTTTAGTCAGAATTTTCTCCTGATGAATTCTTGTAAAACGGCCTCTGTATCCTCTCCCTCTTCCTCATACATCCCCGTAAACACAAGATTGTCCCTCATAGACCGGGCCTTTAAATCAGTGACACTTTCTTGCAGGTTCGCATTAATTTCTTTTAAATCACTGAGCTCTTTCTGTATCTTCGAATCAGAGACTTTCTGTAGCTGCGTGCATTTATCGATATCATTTCTGTTTGCTGTAGTCCCACGTTTGTTTGCCTCCACTGTCTCCTTGACAGTGTCATAGACATTTCCAAGAGCACTCATATTAGAGTCTATTTCTTTTAGGTCATTTTTTACTGTCTTAACATCACTGTCGAGCATACTCACATGAGATTTCACAGAACTGACCACATTACTAAGTTCATTAAAACTAGCAATTTTCTTTTCAATTTCACTTAGCCGAGTCTCAAGGCTGTCATTTTTAGCTTCAATATTTGAAAGTTTTGTGTCCATGTGTGTTTGCATATGTGAGAGTTGCATTAACACATCGTGAATTGATTCCAGTGTAATACATATACTACCACCACCGTCATTATGTCCTCTACCTGCATCACCGTATATGACTGCATTACTTTCGGATACAATTTTGGCAGTGTCGGCGACAGACATACTGATATCAATTTGCATACACGAAACACAATATACAATTATAGACTGTTTAGAAGGGATACATCACCAATTATCTGGTCTTTCACCGAGGGTGACAACCCTACTCAGACCTGATAATTGGTGATGTATCCCTTCTAAACAGTCCATAATAGTTTATCATCCTGAAGAATATACAATTATCAATTAGCTAGAGTAGAAAATAGTAATCAAACCTCTTATTTTCTTCTATTCTGCTCCGATTCCGTATACTTTCAAAATACGCCAACAGACAACTTTGACGTCATCGTTAGAATTTATTGTTTACCGATCCCGCATATTTAGCCATTGTACTTATAAATATGAGTTATCTCGCTTGAACCACTGAAGTTTTATTCAAAGGGCGACAACACAGTAATAACCCTGCATGCTCGCTTACGCTATTTCATTGTCATTTGAAGGGAGATAACAGTTGTCTCCCTGCGCGTGAGGGAGACATCACGAGTTTTCTCCCTGTACGTGACCTGCTCTAAACCAATCAGATTGACTGTATAATTCTGAAGGATAATAATACAAGTTACACAAGTGTAAGCTGACATATACAAGGCTATACAACAATGGCAATAGCTATGGCTGGGCTGAGTAGGTACTCATCGAACAGTTCAACTTTTAATTTCTGCCAACAGACTTTAAATTAGACTTAAAACGCACCAAAACGCACCAAAATTCCTAAATTATTAGAAGATGTCAAAATTATAAATACACACCGGAGCCAATGTAAAACACAACCTACCGGTTCGGTGACCCTTGACTAGATGTAACATGTCTTGGGCGGCATCTCATTAAATTATTTAATGAGGTAATTATAACTTGGGTCTTCAAAACTTGTATAACCTGCTGGAAATCAAATCCATCATTTAAGTGTGAAAACCAATCAATCGTAGTAGTGAAACCATAGATCATTAAATCTTAGGTCTAACAGTAAAGAAAATTAGAAAAATGTTTATTTGTACGCTTATAAACAAACTAACGTTTTATTTTTTAGTTATTTACCATATAAAATGCATTTTAACCGAGTAACCGAATAGCAATTTTACTAACCGATACTCGCATCATTCGACGATTAACCGGTTACTCGTTGCCAACACTAGTTCCTTGTTTCCTATACATTTCTAAATAAAAATTTTGTTCGCCCATCAGGGCATAAAATGCCAGTTAATTCCAATTACCGTGGTATATCGATATATATTTGGCATTTTTATAGTTATCGACTTAGGAGAACAAAAAAACTTGAGCTCATAATAACATCCTTACTCTACCGATTTGAATGTAGTTTTTAATTTAAATCAGACATAAATCTTTTGATCTCATCCTAAAATGTTTGAACCATTTCTACTACTAAATGCTTTATTTTAATTTAACTAGGACAAACCAATTTTTTACTGAGATTTATTGATTCAATCACAATAATGTCTCAAAGTTCAAAAGGCAAAACAATTCAAAACTATATACCAGTCGCTAATAATGACAATGAGGTGGCTAAACCAAACAAATAACGGTGACAACAGGTACCCTTACTTAGATTTAAGTAAGAATTAGATGATTACTCATAGTATTTTGTATATTGTGTTAACAACCAAAATAATTTTGGCTTCATGTTTCATATGTCCGAAGATTTTGAAATCGTAAATATCATCTCTTTCCATTGTTTTTAATCAACGGCTCTTGAGGGCCTAGAATATCTATTGAAGTTTTCTTTGAACATAGTTTATTCTAGTTTCTGTAGCTTTCTGTATTCGATGGAATGGCTCCTGTTTCAGTGACTGTTGATAAGAATATAAAGACCCGTTTAAATCCCCAACAACGTGCTGACAAATCCCAAGTATCTGCCAGGCTAGATCTCTCTGATGTGTAGATATATACATCCCATCATCATATAACAGCAGAGTTTTTAAGTCTGACAGTGACTGTTGATATAGAGACCGATTCCCTAGTCTGTAGAAAGATAACACAGACAACCATTCTAGTGTAAGAAATGGAGATATAAATAAAAAGCGTTCTCCATTCTTCTCGGCTTCTTATTGTTCTAATAATAATTCTCGAATATATAAAACACTCGCATCAAGTTTCAGAGTATCTGCCCATGCCATTTTCATCCGTTGAGAAGGAGACAGACTACATACAGCTTCATATCCCTGTCCACCTAGACGATTATACAAGATAAAAGGCTGTGAAAGTCTTTTTCTGATGAAATGAATTAACCTAACAGTTCCATGATATCTACCAAATCTATAGTAATACAAAGCTAAATACAGTAAATCAGACACACAACCTATCCTTCCAGCCAGTTTCAGTATGTTACAAAATCTTCTTTCTAATGAAAACCTCTCTTTATGAGTTCTACAAGAAGAACTCTGCGCTGCAATGAACACCATGTTAATAAAAGTTTGAGCTGTACAATATTGTAATGTTAGTGTTTGGTACGGCAAAAATGAAAATTGCCATAATCTTTCAACCGATTTAAATTGTGTAACAATTTCTTTATACTGCCTATCTGTCATAAAAATAGAAAATATTTCATCCCTGCATTGAAAATCTACTTCTACAACAGATTTAATATGACCCTCGAAAAAATGAACCACAAACGACGGAGTCCTTAAAGCTGGTTCCAGTATTGATCTGAGAGTCGGACTAAGAAGAAGACAAGACACGCCCATTCTGTAATATTGATTAAGTTGCTCTAGTAAACAGCTACGAGTAGATTCAATTAATTTGTTTGAAAACATGTTATTTTGTGGAATGAAAAAATTGGGAAACTCGCCACGGTAAACACAATGTATGATATATTTGAAACATTTCCAGAAACAGTTCAGTATATTGTTTGGGTACCATTGAATAGTTTCCAACTGATTTATCCAGAACATTGTAGTCTTTATGTGATATGAACAAAGTAATGGTTCGCGGATACTATGATTGATTACTTCCTTTAGAAATATTTTCAGGAGTCCGTAACATAAAAATTGGGTATGGTTCATGGTACACACTAATTTTTGTTCGGCTTGAGAAAACGATAATCTCCACTCTAATTCATAGGAAGGAGATAAAATATTATTCCCGATAGCAACACAATGAAAACCGTTCTTCAGAATTTCAGTTAACACATATTCAGGAGGCCAGGTGTAATGAAGACATCGCTCAATCCAATTACTTGTTATTTTTGTCCAATGTACACTGCTAAGACAAAGAGCCTGATCAAATTCAATATGGTGAAAATAACCATTTGAACAAGGACCATGACTGTCAACATTTTGATATTGTTTGTTTTCTTCAGTCCGTTGCAACCATTTTTCCTTCCATAACAAATTTGAAAGAAAATGTATACCATTGAGGGAAACAAGTGCTGATTGGATAAAGTCGTCCCTAGGCTGTGTAAGAAGATGTAATTTTACAAATCCAGGCGGTGTATCTGATTCCTCCATTAGAATAATGGTATGTTTTGATGGATCGTATATGCTTGACTGAGAAAGTTTACTTATCATTTTATGGCTATGAATCCAGAACATTACATCACGATCAGAGTAGTCAAACCTAAAACCCTCCCTATAACTACCAGAAATCAAATAAATAGTTCCAGTACACAATTGTACAGGTTTCTTGATCATCTCCTCCATGTCCCTCACGTCCCTTCTGATGGCCACTTCTGTCGGTGTCCCTATTTCATCACACAGACCCACGTACAGGACCTCCGATAGTCGAGGAATGTGATCCATTCTAATGATAGAAAAGAATAAATATATAACTAAGGACATTAAACACTTGATGAGATACAAAGGTGTTATTTTCTACACCCTGAGATATACAAACTACTAGTATCTGTCTGAATGCCGTGTAGATTTAAATATTCTTAATTTGTTTGCCAAGTTTTTAATATGGCACTAATTACAATTCAAATACGTACAGATGTATAGATGTATGTAAATATACACCGTCGGTAAGAGGTAAGAGAAGCGAGACCGACCGTGGGTTTCCGACGATGTTAATTTAATAAGGATTTATCACTTTTTCATTTAACAGTTTACCAAATTATTCAAAAGCCAATATATAAAAAATGAACTTACCTTCTTTTCGAAATGTTTCTAATAAGGAATGAAAATCCCCATAATTTAAAATTAGAATAAAAAGAAATACCCTTAACATCTACTTTCTCTTTGATTATCCTTTATGCTTGAGTTCTAAAAATAAAAGACAAAAAATCATTGCATTTAATCGCTGACACATATATTTCCATAAAAAAAGTATAGGATTAAACAAATATACTAGTATACATAAAATACATGGTTACTGTCTTGAAATATAAGCGATATTTGGGCGAGGGTTAGAAAACGTGATAGAGGACGAGCCTTCCCGTTTTCGACCCGAGCCCAAATATCGCTAATATATATTTCTAGACCGTTATCATGTATTTTATTTATCCTACAACAGAATTTTACATTTAAACGTCCAAAACAAGCTAATTCCGACAGACTAGGTCTAATGCACATTAGTCTCGTTTTCCCCACACTCTCGCTCTCGACTAAAGGCACATCACTGCAGTTGAAACTATGACGCCATGGCGTAAACATTGCAATATATAACACTTTTGAAGAAGTTTTAAAATTTCCGATTATATCACAAATATAATTTTTTAAATAAATAAATTTATCCATATGCCCTGAAAAACTGCTGAATCACGCCGGACACAGTTACGTTGCCTTCCCGAACACTGCATATTAATTACGTCGGATTCGAAATTCACAGAGGCAGTTGCTAAGCAAACGTAAACAGTTCCACGAAAGTTAAAAAGATTTTGAAGAATACAAAGGGATTTGCACTAAAAATAACTTCCAAACAAACTAATTCAGAGAATTTGTTTCCCCCGTTTAGGGAAAAAGTAAACCATGCGCAGTTGGGGGGGGGGGGGGTCAGATCCACCGCACTGAATTTGTAGAATTATTAAATGTATACATGTATACTGAAGCAAATAAAATATACCAATATGGATATGAATATTTAATTGCTTATTCTTTATTATGTATATAGAAGATTGTTTTTCTATGGAATATTTATCACACTGTAATGATGATTTTAGGAGTTTGCACAAGACAGACCTCGTAAATTTTTTTCATTTTGCGTGCTGAATACTATCATTTAGTAAAAAAAAAAAGGATTAAAAAAAAGATTCATCCAGGACTTAAACTCGGGACCTCTCACATGGGAAGCGAGAAACATACCACTAGACCACGGAGTCACTTTACGTACATTCTGGTATATGCAGACCTGAAGTCACATACATGTATATATTCATGTTTGGTATTGTCAAAATTTTACACAATCCATGGTGTTTAATTTATATAGCCTTTATCAAACAGTTCTCTAATAAACTCTCCTCATGCACCAGTGATAAAAATAGACATGTAATACTATAAATACTAATACTAATACTATCGGGATACTCTTAAGGCATTTTTTAAAAAAAAGTATTAGGGCTTTTGAAAAACTCGTTGCTAATTTTGCGAAGTAATATTTTTTAAGTATTGATTATTCTTTACTTGCATGTGAATTTAAAAAAATTATTGTTTTATTTGTAAATTGTATAAGTGACCAGTATAGAATCATAAGATTATGTTTAACTTTAATTAATCTTAAAAGAAATTTATACTCATTTCATTTATCTTTTTTTTTTTTTGCATTACATTTTTTACATAGATTGAAATTATGGCCATTGTTAATTGAGCAGCATGATCAATGATGTGTAACACTGATACGTGTACCCAAATAACATGCATGATTGGTTTTCTGCCCAAAGGCGATTGAAACCGCGCAGGTGTTTATACCATTTTATTTATACACATTATCGGCCAGGTAAACAAAAGCAAAACAAAAAAAAAATGAATCACAATTCCCGGTATTTTCAACTGATTATTTATTTATCTTTTTTAATTTACTCTTTTAATAACTTATTTATAAATTAAAAACTAATTCATCTGTAAATTCCCGTATAATTGTTCACATTTCTTCTGTTAAGGAAGAATGGTGGCATAATTTTATTTCATGTCATAAAATAAATTGTTAGATTTTTATTTTAGGGTTACATGTAATACTATTTTAGCGTGATGCTTGTAAAACGTGTATCCTTTTCAATTAAAATATCTTATATCTACTTGTATATAAATATTGCCAAATAAAAATGTTGAGTATTTAATTTTAGATTGAATAATAAAATAAATCTACATGTAGATATTTTTTTCTCATGAGCCTGTAGTTTTATATATTTTAGAAGTAAAAATCTCCTCCTGACTTCCTTATTTAACAACTTTATTTTTAAAAATATTCTATATTACATATGAGTAAAATACAGTCCCTAAAACTATAAATTAACTACAATACGTGTAATCTCAAGTTATTAAAAGATTATAAGAATTAAATCCTTGCTTATTAAACAGTTTAAACTCCTCTCTGCTGGAAGTAAACAAAACAACATGAAACCTGCAAATTTAAAATACACAAAGGGGCGGAGCTATCTGTCACTCAGAACCAATGTCACACATGAGTGAACAAAGCAGTCCCAGAGAGCAGTCCCAGAGGCAGCTGGGACTGCTTTTCATAGCAGTCCCACAGCAGTCCCACAGCTTTTCATAGCAGTCCCACAGCAGTCCCAGAGCAGTCCCACAGCAGTCCCAGAGCGGTCCCAAAGCAGTCCCGGGGACTGCTTTCTGGGACTGCTTTGGTGTCAGGTTGGGTCTGGTCGGTACTGTAACAACAATTACACTGGTAACACTCACATTCCCCACAACTCAATTCACAATATGATGGTGATAAGGAGGAGTAACCAATGAAATAGAACAGTATAGAGTCCCTAAAACACTTTGTCTTACACTTGTCCATTGATTCACATAACTCTTTCATTTCATCTGACGCATGAAGTAATGATGCAGGGGTCACAAAATACATGGCCTTGGCCTTGCGTCCATCTCGCCCTGCCCTACCCACCTCCTGCCAATACTCCATTACAGAATTACATGCACCCCAGTGAATTACAAGGTCAATGTCGGGGATATTGATCCCCATACCAAAGGCGATGGTGCAGACTGCAAGTCGTATCACACTCTCTGGCTTAGAAATCTCATTCAGTATGTACTCCAGGTCCTTGGAAGCCATTCCAGCATGATACAAGGCAATATGGCTGTTGCGCTGCTCTTTTCTTTGTTCAAAATAGGCACCTTCTTTTAAATGGCCCAATATATCTCTGTAAAGGCGTCCACCATGACTCAAGCTCCAACAATTTTGAAGAGTATATATGTGTTTAAAAACATACCGGTAAGTTAAAGAATGAACCCAATCTTAATAATGACCTTCATAATACATCTTCTTATAGGATGCATTAATATTTTACCTGACATATACTAAAGTCTTTCTGGCTTTGATACCATTTACTCTTATGTCATCAAACAGCCACCCAAGCTCTTCAAAAATATCTTGACCTTTTGTACTCAAGATAAATGTAAGGTCTGTTGATTTTATAAATTTAATCATGAACATCATAGCAGAAGATTTAAAACATGTGTTAAAGTTATAGAATATTATGGCCATAAAATTTTCAGTTGTGGTCATTCGCCGTATTACACATAAGAAAACTTACCTGTCAGGAGATGCAGTGAACATCTTAAGACCAGGTAGATGGATTCCTTTGGTTATGTTCTTCAGAATCTGGGGTGTGCAGGTTGCAGTAAGCGTAAGAAATGGAGTCTTTGGGAAATGTGAACGAAGCTCTCCAAGCCTCGCAAATGTTGGTCGAAAAGTATCACCCCTTAAACATATAGATAAATGTTCTCACCTTATATTTGTGTATTTTTAATGTAAAATATTCTAAAAACATAGGAGTGTTTGTTATATTGTTGACATTAGCTGCAGATCTGTAGCTCTCTGGTTGAAACATTAGATATGTAATGGGAAAATGTCAAGAATGATCCAACAAATTACATGTATAGAGAAGACCATTCAACAATAAAATGTTTGTTTATTAACAAAAATCAAAAAACTTGTCCATTTTTTAAAATTTAATGAAAAACTCTTACCAGGATTCCAAAATGTGCGCCTCATCTATGGCAATCAATGCAACTCTGTCACTGTACAAGCTGGAATTCAGTATTATGTCTCCCCAGGACTCAAAATTCAGAAGGGTCTCTGGTGACATATATAGAATTGAATATGTACCCTTCTTTATGCCTATATGAATATTAATATACCATTTCAGTTCAAATTATAAGTGTTTCATTTCTTTCAATCAAGCTGTACATTCTATGCAAAGCTGATACATTAAGTCATACCTTCAATAACCTCATGACTCATCTCATCCATGCCTTTAATGACAGCAGCAGGAATACCATGGTCAAAATTATGTTTGCACTGATCTATCATCAGACTTTTTAAGGGAGAAATAACTAAGGAAACATGTCTTGAAGCTGAGTGCTGCTGATTAAGAATTAGAGGAGGCAGTAAAAACATACACTTTTTCCAAAGCCGGTAGGGAAAACACCCACAGTATGCCTTTTACCTAAAACACTCTCTATAACTGATATTTGTTCATCTTTGAGGTCAAATTCAAAATGAAATCGTGGTTTAATCTTATTATCGAATACCTTCTTCACATTGAAAGCAGCCATGATTTTTTTTGGTGCGAAATGGTTTTGTCAAAATTGTGCAAAACGTCATAAATTCTGCTATCACAATATAGC